GCTCTCAGCGACTCTTCTGCTGCCACTTCGCTGTAATGATTTTAATTGCGTGTTTTTGCTTTGAGTGAGGCGAGCCGAGCGAGATTACTTTTTTTGGTTTTTTTCCCTTTTTCCCCGTCCTTTTTTCCCCGGTTCCCTCTGAGCCCGGCAGCGGCGGCAGCGCGCAGCCCTCCCGTCCCTACCCGAGGCATCCGCCGCCTGCGAGCGCTCTCCGAGCCGCTTCTGTAGAGAAGCTGGAGCCCAACTTCTGTGCTCAGAAGTTTAAGGTTTCATTTTTAGTAACTGTTCTCGGAGTGAGTAATGGATGTGTACTGCTCGTAGCCTGTCGTCTACACTGTATAGCCTGCTGATTTCTGGGGTGCTGGATGGTTCTGAATATTAAAACAGTTCTCTAAACTGTGTTTGCTTTCCATACAGTTTTTCTAAAGTTGGATTTTACCTGATTTGACCAAATGTTGATGTCACTAGTGACAGCTGCTTAATTAGACAAAGTTGCAAGCATGTCATCAAAGAAACTTTTTTGCCTGTGCTGGTAATCCACAGCTTACTTTAATATTTTGGAAAACATGCATTTTGCTCGGTTGAGTATTATTTTTACAGTTTTTGTTACTGCTGAGAAGCTCTTGTGTTCTGTAAGTTTGAGAGAGCCTGAAATAACTCAAGTTCCCAGAGAAGCGAGTGTGGACAAGGAGGTACCGTGCATCTCGGCAGCTAGATTTGGGGGAAGACAGGGAAATTTGGGGCTACTCGTTTCAACTTCTTTCCTCTGAAGCTTTTCCCCTGCACATTTTGTTTGAACTATCTCCCAACCATACTGAATGGACCAGGGCACTGGGGGAGGAAGCTCTCCACTAGTTACCATTCAAAAGGTGTCGGCTAAAATCTCATTGCAAAAAGGTATTGTAGCTTTAACATCTTGCATTGGCAGCATTCTTCCCCCTTAGTCTTTGGATTAGTCATTGTATGAGAGACAGGAAAAAAAAAATCACTTTTTTTTTTTTTTCTCTGGAAAAAGTAAAGTTAACAGCCTCCAACAAGTGAACCTTGACAACCCAGATTAAGGAAGGCAGGAGAGATCAAACAAAGCTGCTGCTGGGCTGTTGTCAGGAGCTGCCTCACTGAAAGCTCTGGACTATTCGATCAGGCAGCAAGGCTATATGTTCACTTATGCAGAAATGGACCATTACAAATGCTGATCTTTGTTGTGAAACCAAAGGATAACTCTGAGAAAAATAACTACTATTTCAGACAAGGCTTTCTGTTGCTTACGGTTTTGATTGCAAAGTTAGTTTTTTGTGCATGGGCTGGGGTTTTGGGGTTTGTTTGTTTTTTTTAAAGTGATGATGGTTTGAAGTGCATTTTTACACTTTCAGAGGGACTTGGGATTTGATTATGTTTACGCTGCCTAGAGCTGCAGAGAAGAAGGCATTAAATTAGTGCAATGCAGAAAAACCTAAAAGTTCTGTGGAATTCAGCTTTTATTTCTGGATCGCTGAATTGTAAAGAAACGTGGATTTGGTTTTTTCTCTCTGTGTGTAAGTTTTGTGTTGGTGTATAATAGAGGAGTTTGGTTCTGATTAAGCACTGTATATTGGATGACTGCATTCCTAGAGTTTGGAAAACTTGTAATATCTTTCCTTCAAACATGTTGCCAAGCAGTCAGGATGGACCTCGGGTTGATACGCCGGGATTTTTACAAGAGTGTGTGTAATGTGTCTTCATGGCTGTATCACAGAGACTGTTACTGTGTAGTTTTTAGTGGAAATAACCGTAAAGAGTATTAATAGCCACTTGGTTTTACTTTAATAAACAGTTAGGATTTAGGTACTAATGGAAATGAACCAGGGGAGTGAGGTTAGTTTTGTTGTGTGACAGTTTCATGTTTGTATTCAAACACTTGAACTCAAACTTTAAATATGTGTCACTTTCATTCCTGTAAAGTATTCTAAAACAGTGGGAATATCTGTTTTTAAAAAAAATCCAAGCAAGAGACTGTTACCCTAACGTGTATTAATCAGGAGGCAGACCAAGTGCACATCTGCTGAAGAATTAAGAAATCCTAAATCTTTTTGCATAAGCATTTTTTTAATTAGCAGTGCAGATCTCACAATACGTACTTTATACTTTCTGTAAGGTAAGGTTTCATAACTGTCCTGCATAACTTACTCTCAAGCCTGTAAAGATTTTTTAATGGTATACATTTTAATTAGACAATAAAAAGTACGTGCATTAAACATGCACATGTATGCTATTAAGCCATTTTGCGTAATGTGTAATGTTTTCTAACATCTATAAACATTTTCTGCTTAAATCAGTTCCACCAGTAACCGTAACACAGCTGGGTTTTGCCCGGGTAGGAGAAGGAGCAGGGAAGTTGAGCAGGGAATTGTGCATCGGACATTAGCGTGCAGCATACGCCGCAGTGTGCGTTTCTCATGGAGTGGATCACCTTTTTCCAGAGCTAAAATTCACATTATCATCCTTGATGTGATATACTGTAAACATTTGTAGCTCCTGAATTACTCCTGTTTCATAGCACTGTAAAAAATTGGGAAAAAGGCTGGTGGTAAAAAGGCAAATATATGGAATGTATCTAGTGTTTAGTATTCGTACCTCTTGTGGTCATTTATATTGAGAGATTGAACTGGATAACACAATTCCTTTTGTGAAATATCCGTTGAGCATGTATTTGTGTGTCAAATGAAATAACATATGCGCACACATATGTAGGATTTGTATGTAAAATACAGTTATTTCAGCAAGGCTGTCCGGTTATTTATGGGGCATAATGATACTTCTGTCATCTTAAATTTTCTCCGAGAAGCTTTAATAAATTTAAATAGATTATATGCTGTCAGAAAATAGTATAAATTTTGTTTACGATTCACTTGCTTTAAGGTACTTATACTAAAGAAGCTCATTTAACCCCAAGACTGAGGAGCATTAAGTGGTGAGAGGAGTCTGCTGAAGAGCTGCTGCTGCCCTTTGCTCTTGTGATAATCTTAAATTACTACAATTTAATTGCAACTTCAAGGCACTGAGCTGAAATATTTTTATGCAGCTGAGCCAGGGCTGGAGAAGGCTCGGTGGGGTTTTTGCAGGTGGCTGGGTGTCTTTTGGAGGAGCAGCGTTTGTTCAGGCCTCTCCTGCCCTTCCCAGCACATCCAGCATCGTGTGTGCAGGGACAGGGTGTCTGGCAGGGAGCTTTCCCGGGGTTCCCACTGCAGGGGGAGCGGGATCAGGCCCTGCAGGGCTCGGGTGCACGAGGGTTTTGTTTGCTGTCCGTATTTAAGCTGAATTAAATAGCGCATTTTAATTGTTCCTCAGATGAGCCTTGCTGTCAGAGCTTCTCCCTGCGAGCCTCGGCTGGGGAAGCAGGTGGGAAGGGGCTGGTGGCTGGAGGGGAAGCCCAGGGGGTGGTCAGCAGCGTGGGGACACAGCGGCACCCTGCTCTGAACGTGGCCGTGGGTACGGTGTGGTCCCTGTGTCCCCAGGGATGAGCTCAGGGTGTAGTCGGCCACCCTGGGCCTGATCCAGAGAGTGCTGGCATCAGCTGGGGCTTCTGCTGATGTCGCTGCCTTTGGCTTTTGGTCTGTGCCACTAACTGGTACCACTGAAACTTTTTCTCCCCCTCCCTCCACGTAGAGTAGCGTGTTTTCACACCCGGCGAGCGCTTCGGCAGAGATGTGATATGCAGGAGAAGCCAGGAAGCATTTGCTAGGTGGAATTCAGAGACGCTCTGTGCTAGAGATCAGCAGCGTCTTTGAGACCGTTCTTAGAGGTCCTGGCAAGCAAACTTTATTCCAGAGCTTCGAAAGGTATGGCCAGGCTGGGAGCGCCTAACGTCGTGCCACTGAGGACGCGCGTCAGCGCCGGCCGTGCTGAGGCACAGCGGTGTTCAAATCGTGAGTCTGATTGTTTTTCTGTTGGCCAGAGCCTTGTGGAGTGTCTCGTGGCGAGAAGAGCCGGAGAAGATCTCGTGGCTGCTGGAAGGGGTTGGTTTTGCGCTGACAGAAGCGCTGCTCGCAGCCTGCTCGCTGCGCGGTTCGATCCCGCAGCTCACTGTGCTGGGAACGGCAGCTCCTGCAGGTAACAAGGTGATGCCAGTGTAGAGAGCGGGGGGGAAAAATCCAGCGTGGAATAAACCATGCAGTCCTTAGAGGAGAAAGTTAATTGTGGGATCGCTGTAGTGTTTTACTTTAAAAAGATATATTTTGTGCTGTAGAGGAGTCGGTTGTGCTGTTTTGCTGAGATCATTTATTTGTTGGTTGGGATTTCTGGAGCGGTTTAACACGTGCTCTTTTTCCTTACTCTAGCACTGGAGCTCCCAAGTCAGAGGAGCTGCTGGCTCTGTTCGTGTGCAGCCTTCTCTGCAAATGTGCTCTAGGGTTTTGTCTTTCTGTTCTCCTGGCACGGGTCTCTTCCATGCATGCAAGTGAGCAGGCTTATGTCTAATGGCTGTTTGGATGTGGCAAGTATCCAGAATAATCCTGATGACTTTTTGTTCCACGTCATTCTGCAAATGAAGACGGGATTCTATGGAAAATGGGAAAAGGGAAGAGCATGGGCAAAATCAGTTTCTCCCTAAGAGGCACCTGAGGAGGACTAAATAATTTTTCTCCTCTCATTGACCCTCCTGGTGCTGTTTTTAAAGCATCTCCATTTTAGTGCCTTGAAATTGCAATTAAGTTGTAGTAATTTAAGATTATTGCAAGAGTGCAAAGGGCAGTAGAAGCTCTTTAGAAGTCTCATCTCAACACTTAATGCTCCTCAGTCAGGGGGTTAAATGAGTTTCCTCAATGTGAGTACTTAAAGTAACTAAATCGTAAACAAAATTTATACTATATTCTGACAACTAATAATCTATTTAAATTACATTAAAGTATGTGTGTGAAAATTTAATTAAAGGCAGAAATACTGTCAAGCCCTGTAAATATCTTGACAGATCTACTGAAATGGAACCCATATCGTAAAATATTTACATAGATCTGATAGGCTACAGTGTTTCTGGGAGTGCTATTCTGAAAATAATTGTGGGCTTTTTTCCCTTCCAGTTTCCCATTCGGTTGCAATGGTCTCGGAAAGCAATGCAAATAAATACCCAGAATGTTTTATTGGGATGATTCTCCCGTGTATTGTTTACTGCTAATGGTGCTGTCTGTACAGTGCTTTTCGCTGGTGTGTTTTTATTAGGAGAACCTGTTTCCTCGCGAAGTTAGTTTAATTCAGAGGCACTGAATTTAAAAAATGGGCACTGAAATTAAAAAACTGGCAATGAGAACTGGGGCTGTGCGGTGTGTCTGCGCTGGACGTGCCATCTGTGAATCAACTTTCTCCTGGGTGTTTGTCCCAGAGCACGGTGCTGCAGCATCTCCTGCACTGCTCTGACTCTCAGTTAAATTGATTTTTCAGGTAGAAAGAGCTTACAACCTTTTTTCCAAGGATTTGAACTCTATATGGAAGTGTTTCCCAAAGTGCACACAGGGCACAGCACCCTCTTGCTGGTGCATCTACAGGCATATCTGCTGTGGTATGTAGTCCAGGCTGTTTTTAAGATGAAGAATGTTTTGCCCCAGGTAAAACTGTGTCTGTCTAGAACTTCAGCCAGCCTTTGGCCCTTTTTAAAACCCACTGGCTGGAATTCTGCAGGTGGTTTTGATGGGAAGGTGCAGCATGAGCCGCGCTTTCTCACCACCATGTCATGGGTTGGAACAAACTCCAGTTTTTCCTGGCTGGAGCGTACACCCTGGAGCTGCAGGGTCGCAGGAGGAGGATGAGGATTTGGGCATGCAGAGAGGGATGTGGTGGGAGCGTGGTGCTGAGGAGCCCGGGCCAGGTGCTGGGCACTGAGTGCTGACAGCCCGACAGAAGGTGGCACAGTGTGGCAGGTTGGCTGCAGCCTCCAATGGCATCGTTAGTTTCCCCCTCTTCGCCAGACATTTCCTTTCATGTTGGATCTGAGTTTTAGCTGTACTTCCCGATCAGTCTTGTCATCTTGTTGCTAACAATTAGGGTCAAGTGTCTTTCCTTGGGCTCTCCACAGTCTTCGTGTTGGTGTCCCTCCCCCAGCTGCCTGGCTAATCTGTTTGTTCATTAATTAGTGGATGGGGCATATTAACACATCAGTAAACCGGAGTAGTCAGAGTTCCCAAGGCATCTCGGGAAGCCCTCTCTGGTTTTATGTGACCGGACATGCACTGTTGCTGATTTAGATAGCGGAGCCGATGATGCCAAAGCGTTGTTAAGAGAGAGATAAATAGAGAGAGCCCAGCAGTAAGCAGAATGTCATGTCTCTATTAAAAAGCTTGTGATAAAGGAAGATAAAATGGTGAGGGGGGATTGCTGGAGTGTTCAGAGCAGCCACTAAACATCTGATCACAAAAATCGATGCTGAATTCCCTTTCTTGCACAACACTTGCCTGCAGAATTCTGTCTGAGCCTGGGTCTGGTTGCAGCGAGCAGTGGAGCCCTGAAAGGACTTTTGTTCTTGCCAGAACGGGGTTCTCAGGGATTCAGGAGCTGTCTGAGCTGGGATTCCAGCATCCCTCCACGGCTCCTTTTGAAGTGGTGCTCCTGGGATGCTGATGAAGTTGTTCCAGGCTCACGCTGGGGCTTGTTGTTCTGTGCTGCCTTGTACCTTCATTTCCTGGGTGTCCAGGCCACCTGCCTTTCTGTCAGCCTGGAGGTCAGGCCTTGGCAGAATAACACTGAGGCAGACTTTTGTCTATTGGTTTTTTCCTTGCCTGGGTGCAGGGGCTGCTCTGCAGAAGTGAATAAATGGAACTGATTCTGAAGAACCAGCGGTCGCAGCAGACGGGAGAGGAGCGGGGTTAATTCTCCCAGTGCAGTAAAACGTTAAATCATCACAGCCTTGTTTGCTGAAAGGATGTTGATCATTCCATTAAGGAGGATTAAGTAATTAACTGATATTTCTTTAGGAACCCATGTCAGTTTTAAAAAGCATTTTCCTGGTGTTGCACAGTGAATGTGAAGTGTATGTTTTCCTGCTGCTGGAAAGCTGGGAGCTGAGTGTGAGTGAGACACCTCTTCCTAAGGAACTTCTGGGAATACCAAGGGAGTGGAAATAGGGAGGAAGGTTTTCAACTAAAATGTGCTGTTCCAATAGATTTTTGATAGCAACATTGTCTTTTATGGATTTTTGTCCAGTGAGCCTGCTGCGAACCTCATTTCAAGGATATTCTGTTTGGGATTAAGAAGTTAAAACCTTCTTCAAGTGCTCCTTTTGGTACTTGCATTTTTATTTTTAATAATAGTTTTTATGTTGTAATAGTGAGCTCACTGACAGTGAGTCATGAACTCTGTCTTCCATGAACCTCATGAAGAATCTGTGTTAGCCGCTTGGGCAGCTCGTCCAGCCCTGTTCCCACGTTTTATACTTGCGCTGGAAAGAAAAATTCCATTAAAATCCCTCTTGTAAATCCGCCTGTGGTAGAAATCCCCTTAAAAGCAGTGCAGTGCAGGGGGCTGTGGGGCATCATGGAGTGGCTCCAGACACTGGGTTTGGAGCACATTGACGCTGTGTTTGTCTGGGAAAGGCTGGCGGTCCCGGGGAGGATGTGCCTGGCCAGGGTTTTGGCATTGGCTGATGCTCAGTCAGGTCAGAAGTCTCTTTTGGGGACAACGCAGGTGCAGGTAGAGCAGAGGAAAGCAATGACAGAATTTTCCACTGTTTCATTTTTGAAGGATCAGCTTGAAGCCCCTGGATGAGAGGAGCAGGGGGCTGTGAGCGCTCCTGCATCCCACGCTCCCAAGCTCGCTGCCAGGGTTCGATCCAGTTTTGGCCTCAGCAAATCACAGAATTTGGGATTAACCTCATCAAATTGCTGCTGTTTCTTGTGTAATGGCCCCA